TTGCCAATTCACTGTTCGGACTCGCCGATTCCGTACAGTGAATCGGCGATTCACTATACAGAATCGTCCGATTCTCTCTAGAACCGGACGATATCCGATTTTTTAGACGATCCGGTCCCCTTTTTACGATTTTCGAGTCGATCCGGGCGAGTCCGGTTCGACTCGGCGTTTTATAAGACACTGCCCACTCCCATTGAATCACTGACTTGAAGTGCCAGTCCACCAACCCGAACGGGTTTCCATATGAGAGATCCAAGTTGGAAGACTGGTTTTTTAAAGCTTGCTATGCAGCGCAACACGTGAGTCTTTCCTCCTGTTTCAGCATACCACGTACCTGCTGGGGCCGGGCTGGGATCGTGGTCTCGACGCTCGCCCGCCCTTTACCAAATTCCAAGCAAACCTTCCTCCCTCTCTCTAGCCGGGATCAATGTTTGGAAGGCTGCCTGCCTCTGCAAAAGCGTTAGTGACGGATGGATCATTTACTGTAAATTATGAAGGAAGGTTGGCTTGTTAAGCCGGCAAGGGAAACTGGGACTGCTCTTCAATCGATCCAGAACAAGAGAGAGAGAGAGCAATCAATTTAGAGAGAGAGAGAGGGGAGCAATTAATCTAGAGAGATAGAGGGAGGAGATGGGCGTTGGGTCTCTGTGCGTGGGCGGATTGGGGCTGATAGGAATTGGAGCTTGGCAGGCATTGACCTCTGCCACGGCTTTTATCTCCTCCATTACCCACAACACCACAAGGAGTAATAGTAATAATAACCCTCCTCCTTCTCAGCTTTCCGCCATGGCTATCATCTCTCTCCTCTTCCTCCTAAACTCACTTTTCTCCTCTCTCAAAGGTCTCCAGGCTCGAGACCATCTCGGCTTCTCTGTTCAATTGGAGGTCTCTGTGATTTCGTCGATCTTCCTCCTCTACTCCATTGCTGGTCTTTTAAGCGAGCTCACCCATCTCCTTCCCTTATCTTCTCCTACCTTGAATCTCATCGCCCTCTTTGCCTTCGCCCAAGAATTTCTTCTATTTTATTTGCAGAGAAAGGATCCAACTGGTCTTGAGAACAGGTATTTCAGCCTCCTCCTCGTACCCATCTCGGTGTGTCTGGTTTCCACCTTTCTGCAAATTGGGTACCCCAAATCGCCATTTCCAAGCTTGGCTCGTGGGGCTGGGTTAATTTTACAGGGCACCTGGTTTTGCCAAATGGGTTTCTCTTTCTACACCAATTGGATGCCTCACGGCTGTGCACTTTATGAGAGAAGCCATGGAAATTACACCATCAAGTGCAAGGGGCACGCAGAGTACCATATGAGCAAAGCCGTTGCAACGCTTCAGTTCAACTGTCATTTGGCTCTGCTCATTGTCTCTCTCCTCTGTTCTTACTCTCTGCTTTGTAAGAAGAAATTCCACCATCGAGAGAACTATTCTAGTTATCAGCCCCTCAATTTGAAAGATCAGATTTCAGAGTTGCAGGAATTGGGTGATACAAACAATGGGAATGGGTCCAATTTCATTTTGGGTTCAGATGGGGAAGATACCCCACATGCGGAGAACCCAAAGCATCCACATCTTTTTGGAGTGGTCCCAGAGGCCAATGGTTTCGGTAATCACTAAAGAAGCAATGATTTGGTAATCATTAGAGAACTCGCAGTCTCTCTCTCTCCCCCCCAGAGCGAAACATTTTCTCATTTTATGGGATTTCATCCTTGTCCTGCTGACTGCATATTTGATTCTTGGTGTTTTTGAATTGCAAGAAGGAGCTCTCAAATCTTGCAGCTCATGCTAGGACTGTTTATCTGGAGTACGATCTTTCAATTCTCGTTTTATGTGTGATTATTCTAAAATCGGGGATAGTAGCCATTTGTTATTCCAATATCTGGATTGTTCTTTCTGCTTCTGTTTTCCTTTATCAATCTTTTTCATATTGTATCATGGCTATTTTGGTTGCCATAGCAGTGGTTGAAAGATTAGCTTTGAACAAATTTGTGATATCGGTTCTTCTCTTTTAGCTTCTTTCTATCTATTCCTGTGATAGTCTTTTTCTACTTTATGAGGAATGATTAAATCTGCATTTGTTTTTGCTGGGGGACTATTTATAACCTGCAGTGTCTTCTCATGTTTAGTCATTTAGTACTTTTTTCTATATTGGAAACATGTGCTAACATTGAAGTTTTAACAGCCTTAGACTACCTCTGAAAAACATTTTGTGAAACGATTTCTAGTTGCGCTCTAGTATCCCCACTTCATTTTGTTCATGAGAACATAATATTAAGGGCATTCTTCCAGAGTTGCTCTAAAATCAAACAATGTATTTTTAGAAATTTTTGACAATGCTTGTTCAACACAAATGTGTGAACTTCGTGAGGCTTATTCATTTGCTTCATGATGGTTTTGGAAATTCTTACCTTAATGATATCTGTGCTATTGTAGTATTTCCTCACTGTTAATGTACTCTCCTACTGAACAGTAATGTATATTGTCATGCTCAACTAAGGTTGTGAGTACGCTTATCAAGGCCATTGAGTTTTCTCCTCATTGCCGTAGTGGAATCTGAACGATTATAATTTAGACATGAGTTGGTATCTCTTTTGAATAACATGGAAATTCAAGGAATCTTATTCTTTTTCTCCCAATAAAATGGAAGGGAATTGTTTATTTATCTAACTTTCTCCACACGTTTTTAATTGAACAACACTTCTTGCATAGTGTCATGATCTTTATTGGAGGGTATCTGGAGTTCATTCATCCTATACTGGCATGCAACCTTTATAATCTACATGGAATTGTCACCAAACGTGGTCTTACACATGCATTCATATGGTTGCACATATTTTAAAGAATACAAATAAATGCACAGCCTTACCATACAAAGGCACATTAGCATGGATGACATGAAATAAGAGCAATGACATGCAGCATGTTACTTTTATGGAGCTCATTTCTTCTCTAGAAAACAAATTATATCCCAACTTCGGAGCCTTATTCTGGGATGTGATGAGTCCTCAATGGCTTGTTGAAGGTCATTGTAATGCCATATCCTGAAATGCTTATTAGATTTCAACAAATAGATATGGATATTGTAAAAAAGAAAGGGTCTGACGTATTGAGTCCTTTTGGCAGCATTGAGGAGCCATACTAAGTTACCAAGAAAGAATATAGCACATAAGATGCTGCCTTGCCACGATAAATGTTCCTCTGTGAGTTAATTGTAGAGGAAAAAAAACACACACATCCCTCACTGAGACTCCTATTGGTCCATATCTTGAGATGGGCGTGTTGTAGATGTTTAATTATTATGTGAAATGTACAGAGGGAGCTACATGCTTGTGATCTGTCAAAAAAAAAAAATATGTAAAGAAAAGAACCTTCCTAAATATTCCAACATGTTCATGACACTTGATGTCTTTTCTTTGTGGTAGCAGGCAAGTTTCTTCATAGTATCGTCCAGGATATATGCTGTCACTCGCCTGTAGTTATTAAATCCTGAAAACATAAATTTCATGGTTGCTTTTAAGTCAAATATTTGTACTTGTCATATAGTACAGTTGGAAGACCTGATGATGAGATAAGTATGCTGATGGTAGGGAACTTTTCTAGAAACTGTTGTATGTGGAGTTTGATTTGAGCTAATTAAAATTTTTAATGTTTTATGTGGAGTTTGATTTGAGCTAATTAAAATTTTTAATGTTGCAGCAATTCTTATGGGCTATAGGGTTTAAGGCTTTGGTTGCTGATTTGAATGGGACTTTCCTCAGACTTGCAATATTTATAGATCCATGGCCACCACCCTACTATGACCACAAATTCGTTATCTAATTTCTCAATATCACAGCAGAATGGCACATTGTACAAATAGGAAACCTCTTTCTCCATAGAGTTTTGAATTGATGAGTGGGTTTCAGCAGTCTACGAAGTTTGCCAATTGGTTTTAGTTTGGAATTGTGTCACCCTGCGGAAATATCAAGAATCCGGCACTTAAATACATGTATCAACTACCAAATGGATGCCCGATATGGCTGTGATAATGGGAAACTTGGCAGTTGTGCAACAGCACCCCAATATGAAATTTGTCCTTTGTAGAAATAGACATCGATTGCTCAAGTTAACATCACTTTGTCCTTTCTACCAGTGGAGCATTAAAAAGGTTGCTGAGTATAGGTATTCATGCTGATTACTTGTAATTGTTTTTTGTTGAGATCCCTGAGTGCCCTAGACAAGGATTTAGCAAGGCCACTATAGTAGTTCAAAAATTTCGATGCCTTTGGTGATCTGATTACAATGAAGGCCTTCTGTGATGAAAGGATGGATATGATTGAAGTGTTGACTTCCTGGGCTAGGTTGTTAAAACCTTTGTTTGAAAGTTCACCGAGTGTCACCTTGTGAATTCCTATCTGGAATGGGATATGTTTTCTTTATATAATATTATAAGCTAAGAGATTTCCTCCTCCATAGAGTATATTATCCATTTCCTTTCACGGCAAAACACATGCTAGAGATACTTTTTGGATATCAAATTTTGAGGATGCGAACTCTACGGCTATAAAATAATCTAGCAAAAAAAAATCAGAAATGAACTCTCTCTGTAATAGAAAAACTAAGGGAAAAGTTTATATAGAGCCTAGGCTCTAAGCAAACAACTTTGAGCCTATCTAAAAAATTTCACAAGAAGATATTGTTTTGATGCTCAAATATCATCAAATCGATCATCTTGACATCAAGATCCATGGACATGAGAAAACAATGGATTTCAAGTTTTGGAAATAGTGTATTTTGTAATGCATTTTTGGACCATCAATTTTCAAGATTTTTAAGTTTTTATAGATATGTCGATCCACACTATTTTTGAAGCTTTAAATTTTATATATAAAGATGAAAATATAGTTTAAGGCTATCACAAAGATTTCCAGTATTGAAACCACATTTCTCGATACTATTTGAAGGTAGGCTGAGCCTAGGCTCTATACAAACCGCACCCACTAATGCCTCAAGATTGATTTGGGACTGTCCAATTTTAAAGGGCTCCATGGAAGTGTCACAAGACTCAAAATTCAAAAAAAATAACCACTTAGTAATTGTTATACGGTTCCCAATGTTTTGATTCAAAAACTAAACTTAGCTAGATGTTTTGTTTTAACTGAGGAAGTAGATGTGCAGTAAGCTCCCGCGGGAACAGCGCTCATATTATAATGTTATAAGGTTTGCACAGTCTTCTTCATTTTTAACTTGCCTCCGTTCTCTCTCTCAGTTGACTTCATTCTATTTTTTTTTCTAAACGCATCTCTGTTTTTTTTTTTTTGTGCCTTTTCAGGGGAGAAGCTTATATAAATCCTAGGCTCTAAACAATCAAATTAGAGCTTACCACAAAAACTTTATTAGATTAGATTGTTTTGATGCTCGAATATACTCAAATTGATCATCTCGATAACAAGATGCATGGACATGAGAAAAAAATTTCAAGTTTTGAAAATAGTAAATGTTGTAAGGCATTTTTGGACCGTCAATTTTCAAGATTTTCAAGTTTTTATAGATCTGCTTGATCTACTTGATCTGCTTGATCTACAAAAGTTTTTGATATTAAAACCATATTTCTCGACACTATATGAAGGTGCGCTATACTTTGATTGTTTAGAACTTCGGCTCTATACAAACTGCACCCTTCTTTTTATCATGCCTACTCTCTCTCTCTCAAGGTTCTGCCATTTGTTTTTTCTTTTTACAAAACTTAATTCCACTTTCTTTTTCTTCATTGGACGTGCAGCAGGAGGAATCGGAGCTTGTACCTTCACTCTCTAGCTCTGTCTCTAACATACCTCTGTTTTCTTTGTTTTTCTTATAGCATGCAGCAGGACCAATGTGTTGGGGGTTACGTAGTCATTTAAAAGGTGTCATGAGACGAAGTAAATTACGATTATAGTGATGTGATAGCTCCAGTAGGAGCGTAGTCTATATGGATTGTGTGACATAGTCTATGGTAGACTATGAAGCATCACTGATGCCGTGACTCACTTAAGTTTTAACGGGGTATAGCTCAGGTTGATGTCAAAAAACCTGTAGCCTTGAGGCATTTGTGCACAATCGATAAATGTTTTGATGTGGGGTTATCCCTTAATGAGTCGAAGTTCTGGCCAGGGGATGTGACCCTTGTGCGTGGCGGTTGGCCAGAGATGATAAATGTCAAATCCTCATTGTTACCATTGCACGACATGTACAATAGATAACCGCGTAGGAAGCATCCCTCTTGGCGAGGGTGTATGACGAATGCATGTGTCGAATAGAAATCTCCTTGCAACAATGGACTGTGTTGGAAGGACCCTATTGTGTTAGAATAAGTATGGATTTGTCCTCAAAGAGGAACCTGTAATCCATGGACTAGGATCGTATGTCCTTTATTTATTAGCTAACTTTGATAGTCCAAGAACCCCTACGAAGGGTTGCAAGTCATAAGAACTGTCAGGTCAATTTGTAAAGATAATATTGAAATGTAAAGATAATATTGAAATGTAGTTTGTAAAAGTGATGGAGTCCTCAATATACTTGTGATATTCCTAAATCTTTGGATCCAATTCTCATTAATTATTATTAAATAAGTGTACTTATAGTTTAATTATATTTTGAATAATTAAAATGAAATTTTAGATCTCTCTAGATATTTTATTTTAGTGAAAAAAGATTTTTAAATAAGAAAATTTTTTTTTTCTAATTTATTTAATTCAGAGAGAGAAAAAATATTTAATGGCTTCTAAAATTTATTTTATTTATCTAAAATTCTTTTTGCGGTGGAGGCTCCATTGGGATTTTGGGCCCACCACCTTTGAGCCCATTATGTAGGGGTGTGGGCCACATAGTTCACTATGTGTGGGACACCCCCACATATTTCATTATTTCTTTTTAGTATTTGACTTGTGATGAAAGTAGCCTGCTTGTTTTGAAAAATAAAAGGATGGTTTTATGAAATAAGTTTGATTGATTTTAAATAGGAAGATGTGGAAATTGATTGAAATTGGATTTGTAAATATATAATATTTTCTCTACACAAATATTTGACAGGAATAGAGTTATAGAAATTGAGGGATAATGTTTCTAGCTCATTCCTTTAATCATGATGGTTGATCTAAGAAATGAAGGGCTAATATCTATTCACCCATAGATCACCAAGATCTACAGTCAATATTAAGTCTCATAATGATTGAAAAACCCTAGATCCTAAAAATCCTAGCTTCATCTTTATAAATATTCTCTATGAGGATGTATTCTTTGTACTCGTTAAATTGGATTGGCCTCTCTCTCTCTCTCTCTCTCTTTCTCTCTCTCTCTCTCCATTAGAAGGCATGCCCCACAGTCTCTCTTTCATGCTAATTTTTCTCTTCTAGTTAGGGGAGTTGCTTTTGAGTATAAGGTAAACCCTAAGGGGCACACCAAGTCACTAGAGTGTGGCATATTCTCAAGACTCAATGGTTCTTGTGTTATTATCTGGTGGCTATGATATTGCTTCCATCTCATGTCATGCTCTTAAGAGGTTTTACGTAGGCTTCTTAAATTATGAGACAAGGCTAGAACCAAGATCATGTGTACTATTAGTGGAAGAAATCTAGTGTGGGTTGTACGAATGGGTTGTACGAAGTCTTTGGGGGTAATCTCTCGCAGCTATATGTTTTTTTTTTGTAGCGATTTTTGTGAGTTTTGATTAAGAAACTGAGGATCCAATGACTATGTGGGCAAGCATCTCCAGAAGAATTATTGGCACGATTTGAACACAAGGAAACATTATGCAGATTAGGGTTTTTATATTGTTTTGGTGCACTGTTATAGACTAAAGAATAAGGTATTTTTTCTTGGGCCTAATATATTCATATTTTGTGATTTTGAGAATAATATCTACCTACAAAGTTTTAATGGGAGATCACGTGGAGATTGAGAGTTATGAACTTATCATTTGAGGGGTGCCAGTTTTGATTAGAATCCAAGAACTATGTATTATGTTCGGTGAATTTTTCCAGTAGCTAAATAATTTTATTTTTGGAGAGAATCTTACGTATCATCATGCATTTTGAGTCTACTTTCAAACAAAAAACATTGATCAAGAAACCCATATGAATTGAAAGATATAATTATTTTATTAAAGGGTGCTCAAACCTGTTTTTTCTACAATTAAGACTATTTTCTGTGACATGAATGCCACGATTTTATATTCCTCCTTAATAGAATCTTTTGAAGGCCACATAAAGTTTTAATATTATTTTTTTGAGTCTATTTTCTAGATAAAAAATGTGAGATGGAAACTCCATCGAAATTATGAGCAAAGATTATTTTATTGGAAGAAAGGTCATTATAAACTCAATAACTCACTTGAACTCTCACTGAAAGGCTGCTAATTAAATCCAAATATAGGAAACTCCTCTTTGACAGACTTTTTATGAGTAATGACTCTAGTTCTTTGGGGTAGAGTGGTAGGATAGGTAGGTAATAGAAAGAAGAAAGAAGAGAATAAATATGAGTTAATAAGAGATTGGTTTAGAAGTGAGAGGAAGAAGAAGATAAAATAGAAGAAGTGAAGAGACGACCCAAAGAAAATTGGGTAGCCTCTTGGCGTAACCTCTCATAAGAGATATTACCGGAGACAAAGAAAATCACCAGGCTCGAAGCTTTGGTACCCAAAGGATTAGGAAAATGGAGTTACATAACTTAACCTATAACTATATCACTAACCCAAAGTGCCCCCTAAAAGTGATCAAAGGATAGAAGAAATTGAGAGAGATAGAGAGAGAAAGAGAGAGACGAAAGCCTCACACAACCTAAACACTATGTAACTCAGTGGTTAAACTAGTAAAAGGGTTATAACTCTAAAGAAAATTGACTCAAGATGACCCCAACCTCATTGACCGAATATAAAAAAATCATCGTCTCTTATGACCCGACTACATCGTACGAGCTGATGGTCAGAGTAGCAGTCTAAGAGTTAAAATCCTAAAGCACTATCCTAGGATGATCCCGAATCGAGTACTCAAGAGGTGAAAGAAGCAATGAATAAAGAAAGAAATAAAAAAAAAAAATGCGATTTAAGGAGAGGAGAGTGTTTATAAAAATTAGGGAAGAGGGGTGTATGGGGTCAAGGGATGAAGGAGCAAATGAAAGAATGAGAGAGGGGCAGATAGGGTGTGAGTGTAAGAGTCGGGCAAGTAAGGTGAGTATGAGAGTAGGGTGGAGAGGGGAATGTGGTGAGAGTAGGGTGGATAGAGAGTGTGATGAGAGTAGGGTAGATAGGGGAGTGTGATGAGAATAGAGCGGATAGGGCATGTAGTGAAAGAGTGGCGGATAGGGCGAAGGAGAGAAGAGAGGGGCGGATAGGGTGGGGGGATGAGAGGGGTAGATAGGATGGATGAGAGATGAGAGAGAGGGGTGGATGGAAGATGAGAAAAAGGGGTGGATGGAGAATATGAGAGCGGGG